CCAATATGATTTCAGTCAAAATTCAAATTTTAATTTTGACCAGACAAAATTAAAATATCTTTATCATGAATAGAAAGTCTTAAAGAAAGAAAAACAATTAAGATAGAACAATTCTCTTTTATTTTACAATTAGTGGCGTAACAAAGATTTTTGAATATATAAACGCTGGGTCTTAGCAATTGGGCATGGGATTCAGATAAAGCTTCAAGAGAATGACATTGGATCCACATGATCATTTTTTATTAAAGTTTTTCCGATCAAAGTTTGCGAACAAAAGTTTTCCCCTATTTCTCATCAACATTTTCTTCCTTTCAAAACGAGATACTAGGATTTCTCCTTTCAGAATTTATTCCCTTGATGGCTTTTATTAATTATGATAATATCTCAGCACATCCACACTCGAACCTTCATACAATGGACTATTTAATTTCAGTCTGAATTTATCAAATAAAAATAATACTTGATTTCAAACTGAAACGTAAGTCTAGGAGTGAGGGGGGGAGTGACTGAGGGTGTGGGTGTTGGTCTGGGACCCACACACACACTCACACCCATGGTGCGGGTGTGGGCGCGCGAGTGAGGGTGAGGGTGTGCTTGTGGCTTTGTGTACTATAGGCTTTAGTCCCCTGCACAGGGGACTAAGCGGGGACTAAGCTTTTTGTGGGGGGGACTAAGGGGGACTTTGCAGGACTAGGGGGGACTAAGGGTTTTTAGTGAGACTACGTAGTATCAAACGAGAAAAGTTTGATTCGGAAGAAATTGGTGTGGTTTTTTTGATTTTAGAATTCAGTTTGAAATAAAAAAGCCCATAGACTCCGAACCTTCCCCTGCATCCCACACCCTCACTCTCATCTTGTATGTATTTAGAAATAGTGTGGAATTTATCTCAAAATGCTTAAGAATTTATTGAAAAGTCCGAATAATCCCCAAAAAAATAAGTCCCGGTAACTGCTGGAATATTTCGATAATATTTTCAAAATTTTGAAAAATTTTTGAAAAAATTCGTCAACTGTCTCAATATTTTCGAACTTACGATTCCGCTAGCTACATCGAATTTCATCTAAAAGACGCATCTTTTCAGGAGTTAAACGCTTTGAATTTTTGCTACATGTTCCAGCTGAGATCCAACATATACAAAAATCCTGCTTACACCACTCTTTGTTATCCTTGGTAATCAAAGTTTTATCGTTTTATATACATCAGAAATATTTTAATTTTGTCTGGTAAAAATTAAAATTAAAATTTGAATTTTGACTGAGATCATGTTGGGCAAAATTAGAATTTCAATTTTGACTAGGCAAATTTTAAATTGGACTGAATTTTAATTTTGACCACAACATGTACATGAGTAAATTGCGCTCGTACTGTACGGTTTGACGTAAAAAAAACGAAAAAAATAAAAGTGAATATAAAGCAATTTTGAATTGTCCATTCGATAGAGCACTATCAGTTGTTTATAAATCAAATATTTTCCCAACTGTCAGTTTTTTCATTTCAGAAAAAAAACGAGCTTTATTAAAAAAATGCATAGTTTTCAAGTTTTCTTGACATAATAAAACACATAATTTTAGAAATATTTTGACAAAATAAAATCATGAAATGACAATTTATATATTGTTATTATATATCAATCGAAAGCTTTTGAAAAGGAGAATCTAATGAGCATATGCGAAACTTTATCGGTACATATACATGCAGGCCTGCCATCTGTTCAGGTTTAGAATGGGGTACAAAAATTTCTAAATGGGGTACATGTGAGGTACAATATTGTTCTAAATGGGGTGCGTCCATGGGATACACAATTTTCTATTGAATAACAAGCAGTGTCAATGAGAAATCGATTTTGAAAAGTATTTTTAGCGTAAAAAGATTGTTTCCAATTTTGTCTCGGCTTTGAAAATAGTATTTAAATTATAATATTTATTTCGAAACAAGTAGTTCACAAATACATTTTTCCTTTCGACATATATCTGTTCAAAAAACAATAAAAAATATTCACTTAAAGTAAATCTTCTCTGTTTGCATTAGCTAATACACGTTTTTTTACATAACTGTATTTCTGCTTGCTTTTAGCAGATTTAATCAATTCTGGTTGAGATTGTGCAAAAGAATAAAAATCTTCACATTTTATCTTGCTATTTAATCTTATCTTTAATTCAGTAGCAATTGTTTCAGTCGACATCGAGTTTCGACTTGGTGTCCATGCGTGCTTCATATGACTGAAGACACCTTCAGCAAATGCATTTGAACAAGGAATCGAGTAAACATTGGCAAGAACTTTCGTCATTTCGCTGCATAAAGTTGTTGATTTTGTGAGCAGATATGCCCACAATTGATCAGATCGAATCTGATTTTCTTTTTCATGAATTTCAATTGTTGGTTTATGAAAAAGATCTTGTTCATTCTGTGATTCATTATTTTGATCATTGATTATATCTCCACTGAAATTATGAGCATCATCACCGATATATTTTCGAATTTGATCACTCAATGGTTCACGATATGAATTGACTTCTTTGAATGTGGATTGTAAAATATTCAATTCATCGAATAATTTATCATGATCAATTTCCAACTTGAGAAAAACGACACACTCTTCAATTTGATGAAATTTTATTTGATCGATTTCACGTATGCCTAGAAAAATGAAGCTGTTCTCTTATCTAATTATCACAATAAAACATACCAAAAACTGCAGTTAATTCAGCCAATTCGGATTGTTCATTATAATATTTCTCAATATATTTAATTACACTAGACACATAATCGATAAATGATTGATTCAGTTTTTTTCGATCTGAATCGGACAATGAATTCAATAGAATTTTCGTTTGATAACCAAAATAATTTTGTTTCAATCGGTCATTAAGTTTGCTAAGAAGACTAGTGATGATTCTACTCAAATCAACAATAGAAACGTAGTATCGTTGCAATTTCAAGCTCTTTTTCTGTAAATCAAACAAAACATTGTGCAAAAAATACATTGTACATTTGGCTTCAGTAGAAGTAAAAAACATTGAAATTATTGGCGGACATGGAAAAGCATCTGCGTCACCCAAATCCAAAAAATAAGCGGATAATGGATCAAATACTTTGAGTAATCGTTCAATAGAGGGATATAGGCTAAGCCAAGGAAGATTGATGTGTTTCAATAATAACTGAATATAAAAAAACATTGATGACTATTAATAATATGATATATGCTTTACTAAATGATCTTGCTCGACAAAGTCAAAGTACTCTTTGAGAGTTTCTACTCGTTTTGTTGAAGAAGAAAAGTGACCATAGAGTTTTGACAAAATTGATTCAACATCAATGACCAAGTGTATATGTGAAGTTTTAACTGCATTATTTAGGACATGTGAAAAACAATTTCCTAGAAGAAAACATTATTATTAGGGACATGTGTATTTTTCTTCAATAGCAAAACACCTTTCTTTAGATGTGGAATATCAGATTTCAACAAAGAAAAAACAGAATGAATTCGTCCATAATTAACGTTTGTATTATCAGCACCAATTGATGTCATATTCTGAATATCAATATTATTCATTTGCAATACTTCTCGAAGTGAAGCAACAATATGATCAGCTGTTTCATTAACTAGTTCAATTACTTCAATCACTGATCGTTCGTTACCACGAACTGTAAAGTAATTTACAACGAATGGAAACATTTTCTTGTGACCTTTGTTTGATGCATCGAATGATAAAGAATAAAAACCGGATTTATTAATCATTTCTGTAATTTGAGAAGTCATAAATGGAGTTAAAAAAAGATCGTAAAAAAATAAGAAATATTCGTCTAACGATCTTTACCCTTCTTCTCTAATTGGTCAGTATGCTTCTGTTTTAAAAAAGAATTATTACTCACCTAAAACATTAACAGCAATTTCACGAGCTTTAGTTCGTCCACATGTGAGATTTTTTCCAATAGTTGAATCTTGAAACAATTTCTTCGAGACATCAGCAGTGCATGCCTGACTCAAATAGCTATGTCCATGACGTATTCCGTGATAAACTAATGTGATTTCAGCAGCAACCAACTTTGTCAATTCAGTCGAGTGAGGAATAGAATCAAACATTGAATGTGCTAAAAGACAATAGATCAACATAATCAGTATTCTTTTGAATTAATGAACAAACTAAATTACATTTGTGTTTAGCTTCTGCTGTTACTAGACGCTTGTGATTCGCTTGTTCAAGATGACGATCGATCAAATACTTCCCACCATTAGCAATTGAAAAATTCGATTTACACACAGAACAATGTGCAAGTGATGAATCTGTTCGACACTCTTGTAAAAATGATGCATATTTCGAAATTTTAATCCATTCTTTGTTGAACTTGCAATATCTTTTTGATTTTGATGAAGAATTCAATGACTTTCTTTCTATATTGAAAGATAATCTAGACATAGAACTTGATGTTTCTTTTGGTGTTATTGGTTTTTCAAATTCGAGTGTCATGGAATCATTCTCTTCCTCAATGACTTCAATATCTAGTTCAATAGAATTATCGTTGTTCGTTTGCTGCATAACTAAAATCTACAATAATTCCTCGGTATTTTGCAATAAATATATATGAATTCTTTTAATAGAAAACTATAATCGATTAGAAACACGATTTAATTTCGATTGTGAGATTCAAATTGCAAAAGAGAAGGAGACACAAATGCTAAGAATAACAATGTCCTGTATTGGTCATGCATCAGCCAATGTAATTGACTCTTCGTATCTCTACTATTCAAATGAAGATGTCAACTACAGTCAATAAGTTTATCGATTTTAACAAAATATGATTTTAATCTTATGCAAAAGGAAATTGTCCAAAGGGGGTACAAATTTTGTACCTCTGAGGTACAAATCTTTTTGAGGTACAAAACGTTAAAATGGGGTACTGTACCCCGAAATGGGGTACAGATGGCAACCCTGTATACATGCGTATCTTAAAGATGAAAAGGTGCGGATGACGCCCTCATCATCACCTCACCCTCTTATTTTAAGCTTTTTATTTGATTTAGAAGGTCCTTAGAAAAAAATTTTTTATTGAAAGATTTCTCACCCTTTAGTCTATCGAACAGAAAAAAGAGAATTTGAATTTGCTTTTAAATCGGCTTTAGTAGATTGAATTTAATCTGTCGGGACATTTGGATACAAAAAAATCTGTCGGGACATTTTTCGAGTAAAATACTATTTTCTCATGAACAATATGTGGTTAAGAGCTGAAATTTTTACCACAGCTTTACCATATAGTCAGCTAAAAATGATAAAAAGATCATGGCCTTAGCTCATACAATTACCGAGAAATCAAACAAATAAAATTCAAAATCTGTCGGGACATTTAGAAAAAAAACAATACCCCTACCGTCTTATTTTTAGTTTTTTATTTGATCCATAAGGTTGTTCGAAAAAAAAATTTTTATCAAAAGATTTCTCGCTCTTTACTCTACCGAATAGTAAAAAAGAATTGGCGTTTGCTTTTGCATTGGCTTTAGTAGACTAAATTTAATCTGTCGGGACATAAACTGATCAAAGTGTATGTTTAGCTAGTCTTTGCAAGATTTGATCAGAAAATCAAAACCAAAGCTGTGATCAATTTATATGATGAGAGAGAAGAAAGTCTTAGCTACAAAATGGTTATAATAAATTATTTTTATCTATTCAAAATTGTAGGACAGTAAGAGTGATTTTCGCCGATGGGTGGGTCAAAAAGGCACTCATTTTGATCTTTCTTGCTTGAAAATTCCATAGCTACCATGGCCAAAAGCCTTGATAGTTTTACAGTAAGTAGGATAGAGCCTAAGGAGTATTTCAAAAAAAATTATTAAAATTGGTTGAGTAGAAGTTGAGATATAAGCGTTTTCGTGTTGGAAACACAACCGTACAATACGAGCGCAATTCACACACATACATTTTTTGAAGAAAAATTCACTTACTAGTATTTTTTTTAAGAAAAAAAAAAGAGCTAGACAGCTGCGATTTTCACCATTGGAAAGAGATAACATACTGACATCTTTCTCTTCAATATTTTATATAAGACAGAATCATTTTAAAATTAAACATTTTTAGAAATCAAAAATTATCTGTTGTTCATATAAAATTTTGACAAAACAGTAAGAAAATTTTCTTAGAAATTAAAAGAAATTTATACTTTTCATTGGAGTACATAAAGAATTTGATTTGCTTTATGTTATAATACATGAGAATGATCATATTCAAATAATATCTTAAGTTATAGATCTAAGGTTTTTCTATCAAAGTCATATATTGAAACCAAAATTTTATCGGAACGATAGACCACTTTCATGTATTATTTGCAATGCCTTCCAAAAATTATTTCGTCGTAAATAATATAAGAGGAGAAGATACTCTAGTGTAGCCTCTTTCGAATGGTGAAAATCGCAGCTGTCTAGTTCTTTTTCTTTTTGAATTATTGAAAAAAGCTTGTCAACGCAGCTCCTTTGGGGCTGAAATGTGGAACTGACGTATGTTCTTCAGCTTCATTATACTAACATGAAATAGAGAAAGTATAAAATCAAGAATTTCTAAATTTTTTAATTTTCTGACAGGCGCCCTTCTATTTCGTTTTATTGTTGCTATTCGTTCAATATTTTTCATTTTTCACAATTTTTTTTGTCTTAATTCTATATTTGTTTTTTTTTTATTATAAGCATTGAACTAGATAGTTAATGGAACTATTATATATGTATATATTTATTTATTTATCCATTATTTCATCCTCATTGCTAAGGTCTGTAATGGGGGAGGGGGGGGGGGGGCTGTCTGTAATGGGAAGAGGGGGGAGCCGCCAAACCTCGAACTAAAAACTTACACTCACTATTTTCTTTGAAAACAGACGTGAGTTCCACAAAATGGCTACGACCATTGGGGTCTGTGGGTGTGTAGATGTAGACTTCACTCTTTCTCTCATCGACACTTCTACATCCTCAACTGTATCTTATTTTCTCACATTCATGTTAGACAATCACTACTAGTCATGTTTATGAACATTCGTTACAAGATATGACGTGAGCATAACTTATTTCAGCTATATGCTGCTGTGACTAGATTTCCTCATCTTGTTACATTCACTTTCACACTCAAGATGAAAATGCCTCTTTTCGCTCTTGGATGTTGGAATAAGAAATTCAAGCTTGATAGAAACATGTCATCATACTGTGAAGTTACTGATGTACGCTTTTGACACGCACACACATAGGCTTTATTAGAAATTGATAGGAAACAACTAATGAGAAAAAATAATATGGAACAGTGGATGAATTATTATTTGTAATAGTAAACATAATGATGGATTTAGATGTTCCATGGTCTCTATGTGTGTGTCGTTTTTCCTAAAACGAAACAAAAAAAAACAAGATCACATTAGTTTTATTATAAATAGTGACAAAACTAGTCGAAGGTGAAATTGAAAGGAGTCTGATCCTCTCTATACATTTTTATAACTGTCTGTCAATACAAATAAACATCAGATAACGTCAATGAATGAAAGCCTATCTATATTCATTCGTATTCGTAAAAGTTTTCACCTATCAATGGCAATCTTTCTGTGAATTATCATTAATATATTTTATATTATATTAATAGAACAAACCTGGCTTAATTGTCACAGTAAAAATTCTATTAAAATACTTCTCTCAAATCTATGTAAATATTTTTAACTGATAATATTATCAAAAATCACAGAAAAAATGAACATTTCATACAGTAGACAAGATTCTATTCAACTATTTTTTTTACATCGAAATAAATATAACAATTTTGATACTTTAATTGAAGATCACTGAGAAAATAAGCAACTCAAATAACCAAAATTCTATCCGAATATTTTAGTCATTTGAAAAGAAAGATTCGACATATTGACTGTAGAATTGTTGATCATATTAGAAATAAACAATTCATATCTCCAAGATTCCATTCGAATATTTTTTATCATACGAAATCAATTATTTAAAGATGGCATTATTATAAATGATTATATTATAAATAAATAATTCAAACAATCAAGAGTTTATTCAAATATTTTACTCAACTCGAGATAAATATTTACAATTGGAAGTTCTATTGAAGATCGTATAATAAACAAGCAATTCTTATAGCCAAACCTCTGCTCAAATATTTTTCTCCATATGCAATACGTATTTTGAGTTCATGCAATGATTGATAATCACATGAGATATAAACAATTTTCATAAGATTCAAAATTCTATTGGAATATTTTCCTTATTTTAACGTAGATATTTCCACCAATTGGTATATTTGAATATAACATGAGAAACGAACAATTTATACTTGCAAGACTCTATTCGAATACTTTCCACATGAATAAATAAATATTTGCAGTTGACACTATAGATTATGGTCATATAGTTAAGGAATAATTCAAACAAGCAAGATTTTGTGAATATATTTTACTTAATTGAAACACAAATATCTATATTTTAATGTATACTTGAATATTACATGGAAAACGAATAGTTTCGACGAAAATTTCGCTAGAATATTTTACTTACTTCGAAATAAATATTTTACACTGACAGTATAATTAAGAGTCAAATAAAATATGAACTATTCCTATTAAGATTGATTTCTAATATTTTATTCATCTAGATATAGAATATCGACATTTGAAGGAGTTATTGAAAATTACACAACAAATGAATAATTCATACAAACATTCTATTTAAATATTGTTTTAGTTAAAAATAATTACTATGCCATTTGTCGCATAATTAACGAT